ACCACGGTCGAATCGTCTGCATCTGGAGATCCGTTTTTCGCATCGAATTGTGAACCATTGGAACTCCCTACCGGAACACGTCGTATCAGCGCCATCCGTTGATTCATTCAAGGCGAGATTGGACCTCCTGTGTGCAACAAATCGAAAGGATTAACACAGACGTATAGCCTACTATCCTAAATAAATTGTAAACTATAATCTCATTAACTTGGATTTTTATTCACATACTTATTATGCTATTGAGCTCGCTAGACAGTCCCCTACACATGAACACGACGACAACATAATTTCGAGATGACTCTAACCTATACAACAGCAATTATAGTTAAGCAAACCTAACAACAGACAATTTATTTCTGTTTCTGCTCAAAGTCATCAGTTGCGTACACACTGGATTGTGTCTCCCACTCATGAATCAACGTTTATAAGCCGAAAAGTTTTGAAATATAAGATAAACAATATTTTTGTTTGTTGTTGTTACTTTCGGTGCTGAATGCTCGCAATTCTCACCAGAATTTAGAATTGACGTGCCTACGGTTTGATAACATTATCAGTAAACAGTCATCCTCATATTCTTATCTCCTAAGAGGCAGTTGAAGTAGTTAAAGGATGCTTATTCTATTGGTATAATTATTGTTCCAGGAAAGACTCCACACTGCCTCAACTTATCTTAGAAATCTCGTATGCTACGCTGTTTTCCGAGATCCTCTGTCCACCTAGTGACCTTCATTTCACCGAACGTTTGTTCTCTTACATTTAAGACCAAATTGTTCAAGTAGACGAACGTAGAAACAGTCCTCCACATAAAATATTTTGTTAAATTCAATGACTTGGTGTTTTTATAAAGATTTGTACATTGTGATGGCGAATGCAGGTGGTAATAATACTAATGATTATCACTTTACATACAAAACAGCAGTTTGTTTCAACTCTAAGTCTTGTGGCACCTATGAATGCACTGCAAACATCTACACTGAAATCCACTTTGAAAGCACCTGCCATTGGAATCAATCTTTTGCGAATACTTGATTGCTAATGGATTAGCTAATGTACACGGCTAGTAGTTTTCCTTAGTTTTTTTAAACGTCTAATTAGGATTCGTCGGAGGTAGTTACTTGCTTCCATTAGTACAACACAAGTTATACGAGTCTCACATGCAGAGGTAAACTAAAACCAGTGAACCCAAATTTATTGCAAGTTAAAATTACTGATGAAGGGGCGTAAAAAGAAGCTGGAGTAGTTGATAACTGTTGTATACGCCTCTCCTGTGAAGTAATATAACAATGTAATTCAATAAATGAAGCCCCGAGACTTCTGAAAACGAGGCAAATTATACGATTGAAAGTCTCTTGGAGACAGGAGCGTTACGCAGAGAAACTATGGTATCATGGCGTACTATGTCCTGGGAAGTTCAACAGATTAATACTAGGAGGGGATGACATGTTTACTCTTATAAGCGTAGAAGTCTTCGAAGTTAGTTATATAAAATTTCATTCAATACTAAAAACTCTGACTGTTAACCGTAAAACACTTCCTTGCAGTTTATTGAAATAACATTATCGCTTGATCTGAATTACACTGACCTAGTTATGTGGTGATAAAGACGTCCAAATTCCGACGAAAAAGTAGTCTGCATTACGCACCTAGTCAGATGATTGGTTATTTTTAGTACAAAATTAAATTCAAGAAATTTCTTTTCTTCTCAATGCAGTAATATACATGATTGCACCCAATCTATTGTCCGCAATTCGGATTAGCAGAAAAGTCAGCTTCCATTTGAGTAGTTTCTCCTGAGTTTAGGTCCCCCACCACTTCAAAACTTCCGGATGTCTAACAATAACAACTAGGTGGCGACTCACACTACGAATGGCGTAATACCTAAGAACTATCAAACACTATTATAGCATTAATGATATTCAATTGTTGTGTTCATACCTTTGAACTCATAGAAGTGACATTGAGGAGTTGTCAAGCTGGAATGCTTCGCATACGGGAAATAATTTCAAAACATCTAGAAGTTCGGTACATAGGCACACAGGACTTCGCAATGAATCTCTACGATAAATGTTTTTGAGTCTCAAAGCCTTAGACAAAGAACACGGGGATGAAAGTTTAGTCATGTTATGCATATCACTACATTCAGTCGAATATATTCCTTACAGTATTGGAAACTTAAACTCGATGTAGTGAGTGAGTTTTCTTATTAATATAACACTTCGTGCGTGATATACTGTTAGTACTTGAGTGATTGTGTGTCCACACGACTTCCTAACTTGCTTTACCCTCTCCTTTCGATGATCAGTGCAATTAACTTTCTATGCAAGTAGTATTGAAGCTACAAATCAATTATTATTTTCACTAGTCTCTATTTTTCTTATGGGCCATAAGATTACTCGGATGAATTCACTAGTAAACTTTTTATTAACTGTGTGATGTCGCCAATTTCATTGCCTCAGTTCCTTCTGGTAAAAAAACCTGTCATGACTATATAACCATTGAATTTAAGCCTCCTTTACTGACTTTTGGTGGGATCATACAAATTCTAAGCATCTACTAGACTTTGAATTTAGCTAGATCCAGAATTATTGACCTCGCTCATTCGACTAAACTAGAAACTAGTTGGGCCATTGGTATCGATCTATTTCGATGTTATCACGCAACATGGTGAGGTGAGGTAAAAGTACCATAAAGAAATATAATCACATGGAGAGATGCCAATCATCTAATCTTGATTCGTCAGATACATTAAGCCGTAATGAAGCAGTGCGTATCCCGGATATGTGGAAAATTGCATTACATAGATTTGGTTATCAGCGAGAAACTGTGCTCAAAACATCATCCATGTATTAACACAATGTTGTATCAAATGAACTTGTCTAACGTGGAATTATCTTCTCTTTCAGTGCTCAAGTTTTAGTGTTATATTGAATCCAATGTAACTAATGTTTCTCTCACATCATTACGAGAATGTGTCTACAACCGGAAACGTTCAGCGTATCCACTGTTACTATCATGACCTAAGTACTAATGTAAAAGCGCAACTATCTGATGCATATACGAGTTAAACGTATTTCTTCGCACTACTCTCTCAACTATGAGAGTTCATTTTACATTTAACAGATAGGAACCGCTTAGCTCTCTAAGGAAATTCTTCAGGATTACCACCTAATAGGACGGAAACTCTCAGCTCTCATCTTTATACCCCTTTTGTAAATTTCAGATTGCTTATCGCCATAGCCTTCGATTAGTAGTCACCTACATACTTCGAAAGTGTTGCACACCAACAATAATTTGGTGCGGATATCTGTGGACCCAAACATACTAGCTAATCAAGTCAAAACTCCTAAAGTTTCCTAAACTTACACCGTGCCCTTCTGGTTCACGCCTGTTTCCATAAAAAAAACCAGCCTAACCAATATCCCATTCACACTGGGACTCGACGGTATGCTAATTTTTTATTCCTTCACGTTCCCATTGAAACGTACAGCTTCAAGCTAGATGCCAGGACAGGACGGGGTTGCTAGCCTCATGCTCAACCTTCCGTCTTTGCCAGTCCAATTACTGTCTTAAAGAGGTAAAGGAGTGAGTCCGTCGGGGATCGAACCCCGGACCATGTGCACAGTCGGTGAGCATCCTAACCGCTGTGACACCGACACACGACTGTCTGCTAAACAAAGCTCTATTTTAAACAAACTCATGTGTCTTCTTTTTCAGTCCCTGATACACTTGCAATTTCTAATCATTTCACTATATTCATTCCTAGTTCGGCTTCTTCAAGTATGAATAATCTGTCCCTATTACATAACGGTCACGTACGTCACCTACAAGTTGCTATCCAATTTCAACTGCTCACTACTAATTATAACCTGCCCAAAAATTTCACAGAACTGTAAGTCATAGGTTAATACTTCGACAGAACTGACGACATCACAATTTCTTACTAAACAAATAATCAGGCCTCTAGTAGATCACCTTACTGTGATTGCTTGTCATTAGTCATTACGTCCATATATCCTGTTTTCGTGATTGGTTGTGTAAGCTGCTTGCCTACCTCAACACCAAATTTAAGTACATATGACATCTGTCACAATCCACTCAGTTTGCCTACTACCAACTGCCAACATCTCCTCGGAAGCAAATAGAAACCTACATAATTTGCAATCAACATTTATTCCTTAAGATTTCGTACCCCTATAAACTGACTCACTTCTTGCTGAATCCTATACCATCACATCATCTCTCGTATCCTAATTTTGACTAAGATGAGTAAATACTTATGCTAGCCTCTACGACAGCATTACAGGTATGAAGTCAGCCACGAAAAAATTCAACCAATTTCTCCAAAACCATCGTTGATAACATTTTCAAAACTATTAATGGTAATTTAGCAACCATTTAGCGAACAGTGAAACTATCAATGTAGTTAAGAGCCTAGTAACTGTCAATCTTATTTTAGGTTACTTTGCATTTCGCCTTCATCGATTATGTTGGATGAGGGCCACACGTTTTTTGGCTTAAACTTACTTTACCAGGCCACGTAAGAGAACATTCACGTGATAGGTCGACTTTTCTCAAACTATTTCAATTTGTTAGATTGACATCAGCAGTAGAGGAATCAGTGCAGTCACCTACAGCTTCAACTAGCTCTGCAGTTGATTTAACCTTTGATAAACGGATAGACTTGGCCACACGAAGTTTTGGGATCGAGAAGCTCCCGACGTACGTAGGACTGAGATATTGGAGAAAATGACTTTGCTTGAGATACAGAATCCTGTGTTTCCCTACACCTACAGCCATTTAATGACTTACCTGATGGACGATCAATGTAACCTAGCCTTAATACACTCCTTACCTAGGAGGTGATGGGAATTCTACAGATTCTAGGCGTGTAGATGTATTACATTCATAGTTATCGCTATCCTGATATCGAGACGAATTTCATTTTGTTTCTCAATTGTCACAAGTTTTGTCTGAAAATGACCTTGTAGAGTCCTCTTCGTTCAATAGACAAAAGCTTCGTCGGTGTAGACTGAATCAGAATTCCTTATTTGAGATAGAGATACGTCATTTATAGCATTTGTAGTTGACCGTTCCCTAGTATCTTTTAATTCATTCACCGTCAATGGGAAGTTTTCCAAACGTCCAATAACATCGTGTAGCGTATCCCATGCAAGCCATCTAGAAGAAGAAGATGCCACACAAAATGAATGAAAATAACGCCAATAAAAGCAAATCGAATGATGAAAATACAAGAAAACGAGTCCCAACAACAAAATAAAGATGACTGGGACTAGATTCTTAGTTAATTCTTACGCTAAAATTGAGGTAAGTATTCTCTACTCGGTTTAAAACGAAATCATCTGCACAATTCTCGAGTCATGTATCAGACTTATGTATTGAAATAATATTGTTTGGACGTAAGATTCGACTTTGCGTGACTCACAGAAGTTCGTCAAAGTATACAGAAGAATGCAGTATATCATGTCCATTGTATTAACGCGGTTTCGTTAATTTATCTCCTGCATTCATCACATCAAAATAATTCATTCTTTGTCCTTGCATATACGCGGCTTCATTATTCTTAATGATTGTTCCACAGTTTGTCTCCAGATAAGCAATTGGCTTTTATTTTCTACAATGTAGGGAGGTAACAGGCAAACCAAGGAGTGAAGCGGTTCTATCTTATGATCTTCTAACACCCCTTTGTTCAAACGAGTCAGTGTGACAAGGACAGTAATATTCTTTACGCCTAGACTACTAATAATCGTGTATCTCGGTACATGTTACGGTGACCATGATCACATTCTAGTATGGTTCTTACAGAAAAGGAATCGAATATCCTGAAGTTTACTGGTTACCTACTCAGATTGTCCAATTTGGCTGAGAGCCACACTTCGTGATATTTTTCATGTGAAAGCCACTGAGATGATTGTCGACCGCTCGTTAACCTTATTAATCACAGAAATAAAGTGATTATTGGATTGCATTATACAGCATACATCAGTTTGCAAAGTGTAGACTAACAATCTCACTACCAAAAATAGTCATGCTCAGCCCTCTATTGAAAATTAAGGAAGCCATTAACACTTATTCGTCTACAAATTCTCCGCCAGAAGGAAAGTGAAGAAAGATATCTCATGGAAATCTTCCAAAACAATGGATATCCACGGAATTTCATCAGAAGACATATACCCCCAAGCCAACCTATCAAATCAAAGGCCCCCAAGGAAAGCACAAGGAAAATCGCCCTACCATATTTAAAGGACATCTCAGAAATCACTACAAGACTCTTCAAACTTTTAGGAATTGACGTCGCACACAAACCAACAAAATCACTTCACTCAGTTCTATGTCAATCAAAAGACTCAATAGCGAAAGAAGATAAAACCAACATCATCTACAAGATAAATTGTAACAACTGCGAAAAACACGACATTTGCCAAAGTGGACGGCCCCCTTCGTCATCGTATCCATGAACATAAGCTAGCCATCAAAAGACGTGACATCCACTCCCTCATATCACCTCATTGCATACAGACAACCACGGACATCAATTCGACTGGGACAACGTTCAGATATTAGACAGAGGAAACAACAAGAATGCTAGGGAATTTTTAGAAGCTTGGTATTCCAGTGAATCGTCAGTCAATAGAAACATCGAGATTGACAAAATTTATCAACCGATAAGAAGGAAATCTCACACACAATGGGTCAAAGTTCAAGTCAAGGAAACAATCACTTCCAATACAAGTAGCCTAGAGGGTGTGAAAACACACAAAGATAACCAATCACATTCAAGGTCACCAGGAGAGATGACTAATACACCCGTGGAGAAATCTGACAGCTCACTTCAACAAATTGAAGTATGGGCTGAAGATGTTGTCTAGTAGGGCAATGAAAGCTTCGCAAATTAACTATCCAGTTCAGGAAACACAACCTCATCAAAATCATCCACCTGAGTTACAAATCTTCTCCATCATAACTAATAATAATGTCTTTCGAATAAGTCAAATGTAAAGGGAATGAAAAACAACTAGAAAATACGTAGTCACAACGAGTATCAACAGTCTCAATCAATGGAACATTAGTAATCAAAGAATCAATATTAAAAGAATACATTTTCATATCCTTTATATTCATGTCTACAAGTTCAAATGTATCCTTCAAAGAGAATTACACAACTCATACTGGGCGTACTGAGCTTAAAATCCCAGCTAACCATTTCGCCAGTTTATGCGTAGCAGAATGACACATTGGGGCAATTAAACGTTATGGAATGTCAACTTTATGAATCTTGGGTAATACAAGAAGGCTCAGAAAGTCAGATCCCATGGGTTGCAATGAATTACATTTCTAATGTAAGTGTACAATTTCAGCACTGTGGCAGAGTCTAATTCCACACTGGATAAGCTTATTTCAAATATCACACTCTGATGCAGTATTAATAACTCGTTGACGTTTCAAGCATAAATTATTGACCATCCTGAATCACGCCAGGAGCCTTACTAGTAAATCAGAACATTTAAATGATGAAATAAAACAAATAAGGATAATAATAATAATAATACTAGTCAATAACTACACACCAGAATTTATTCAGAAATTTATGAAGAACTACAGCAAAAGTAAGACTAGTAATGATAACGACAAAAATAACATAGAATTCAAAGCCTCTGTAGTACTACCGTATGAAGAAGGAACATTAGAAGCATTACATAGAATCTTCAATGACGCCGGAGTTAGGGCGGCATTTAAACCAATCAACCAACGAATCAATTAATCAACTCTCGCAGAGGTAAACTTTGTCAGCCTAAGGACCCAACAGATCCAAATAACAATAATAATAAAATTTATCAAACACCATGTAATAACTGGGAGATCAATTACGTATGTCAAACTAATAGATCAAGGTCATTTAGATTATCGGGACATAAAAATTTAGCTGGGCCTAAACTGTTCGACTCTGTTAAGTTGAGTTCAATAACGCAGAATAAAGCTCAGCCGTTGCATAGCATTCATTTGCATCCAATCATAAAATACGGTGGGAAAGGGTGAAAGTATTATAGTTAGGTGGTGATAGACGTCAATCACTGAATCTTTGTCTATCGATTCACCACCGCACACATGCAATCGAAATGACGCTACACCTACACCAGCGATATAGAAAGTGACCAGAAAAAGCAAATGGGAATAAGGAAAGAGAAATTTATGTATTTATAAGCCATATTGTGAAGCCGTGTCACTGAATTGATATGATTATGAGCAATAATTTATGCTCAAAACCTTGTCATCTAGTTATTAATACTGCACCACTGTGTGACATTTGAAATAAACTTATCTAATATGGAATAGAGCTTTTCGATTAGTGCGCTACATTTACTCAGTTACATAAATCTCTCATTTCTCTGGTGTTTCTAGCCAGGAAGTTGTGGAATTTATTGTAATTAGTTTACCTTCGAACACTGAATCTGTGGATACAATCTTGTTGACCGATAATACCTATAACTATCTACTTACCATTTTGTGACTGTCTAACATTAACTAATATCTATAATTGTAATTATACTGATGGATTTACATTTTTGATAACTTTTTTTGATAGCGATGCTACTGCTACAAGTTGTTATTGTTGCTGACATTCATGTTGTGAATTTTTTTCCTATTGCTGGTGTTAGTCTGATTGCTTTATTCCTTGTTTTCCTGATTATAGGAGGGGCAACCCAAAAAGTCAATCCTCCGCGAACTATATATCCATGTAACAACCCCCTTCTCAAGCGTGACGCTAGCAACCCCACCTTGTAAAAAAGCTGCTACAGAAACTTCAGTACGATGAGTCCTCTTGCGACAAAAGAAAAAGTCTCAGTGGGGACATGGAACGTCCGCACCATGTTTGAGACTAGCTAAGCTGCCCAGATTGGGAATGAGATGAAAAGATATGGTATTCAAGTACTTGGAATATGCGAAAGCAGATGGAATGGGAATGGCCTCACCAAATTGTCAAAGGGAGAGTCACTGATCTACTCCGGTCACCCAGAAGACAACCACATGCACACCGATAGCGTGGCTATGATGATGTCACCAGCGGCAACGAAGGCCCTGATGCAATGGGAGGCGATCTCGCTCAGGATAATAACCGCCAGATTCAACTCAAAAGGAAGGAAAGTGACAACTATACAATGCTATGCACCCATAAACAAGGTAGACCTCGAAAAGAAAGAAGAGTTCTACAGACAACTACAGGCAACAATGGACAATACTCCAGTTGGTGACATCAAAATACTAATGGGAGACATGAACGCCAAACTGGGACCAGACAACACAGGAAGGGAACTAATCATGGGTAGAGAAGCGCTTGGAGAAATGAATGAAAATGGAAAACTTCGCCAACTTCTGCGCCTCCAATGAACTAGTGATTGGTGGCAGCGTATACAAACACAAGGATAACCACGAGGCTACATGGGTATCACCAGACAGGGCAAACCAAAAACCAAATCGACTTCATCTCAATATACTGCTCAAGGAAGTGGAGACGCAGCTTACTGGACACAAAAGTAAGAAGAGGAGTAGACGTTGGCTCAGACCACTATCTCATACAAGGGACAATCCAAATCAAATTGAAAGCTTTCAAAGAAACAGGAACTGCAGATAGACCACAAGCCAAGTTCAATACTCAAAAACTGAAGTATCAGGATACAGAGGATATTTTCACTGCAATCATTAGGAAAAAGGCGGAGACACATATCAACATTAGCGAAGAGGTCAGCGTCGAAAAACACTGGGATAACCTGAAAGCGGTATGGAGCGAAACCTGCATGGAAGTTCTGGGCAGAAAGAAGAGACAGGACAAACCGTGGCTCACTACGGACACTGGGAGGCTAATAGAAGAGAGAAGGATGGTGAAACAAAAGATTATCCAGTGCACCAACGAGCAACAAAAACAGGAGTTGAATGCAAGCTACAATACACTGAACAAAAGAGTAAAGAAGAGTGCCGGGGAAGACAAAAGAAAATATTATGAAGCTATGGCAAGTGAAGCAGAACAAGCTGCAGTGCAGGCCAAGGAGACCTCTCAACACTCTATCACACAAATAGGTTCCTATCGGGGAAAAGTTCAACACAAATTAAGCCAGTGGAGGATGACAATGGAAATTCAATCACCAAAGAGTTGGAGCAAAGGA